AAAAGGCAATGGTCTTTTCATACGCATAAAAAAAAACGTATATAAATCAATGTAGGCTGAAACAGAGGCAATCTTGTTTCATAATTTTGCTCAAATCTAACCCGCTCCCGTGAATTTTTAAAAATATTTATTAAGAAACATTATTCATATTTCGAAAATAAATGTTCAATGCCGTCTAGCCATCCTTTTCTCCAATTTCCGTTGTTTCTTCTCACTCATCTCAGGTTGTTCAGGAGCAGGAGCAAAAAACCATGGAGCTAATATTTGTCTCCATAACATCCAACCCCCTCTTAGTGGTACCTGTAACAATACAATACTATTATTAACAATACAAGATTACTTCTATTCATGTTACACCTATAATTCCTACTGCTTGCAACTAAATAGTTTACATAACATAAGCACATCAGCATTTAAATGAATGAATGGAATTTTCGCGTTGTTACCGATCACGATAACGATATTACTTTATTGAGAAGTATTGTGTAATTTAAATATAAAAATCTATAGGAAAAAAGCATAAAAAATGATAAAATAATTGTTATAAAATATTTTATAATTTGTGACGGTATGTTACTATCTTATATTCAAGTTATTTTACTATGTATACTTACAAGAAGCCACAATAGCCAAAAATAATTTGATATAAGTGAAAGTACTTGTACTCCTGATGTTAATATAATTAAATCTTTCACATGTCTAAAACAAGGCAAAGAAATGTTATTATATCCAATAAAAATTCAATGTAATAAAATATTACATTATTTCAAGAGACTTTTAATAGAGTTCTTGGTATTTACTCTGCTATACTTCCTTCCATATTAAGATCAATTCCAGAATCCAATAGTTGTCCTGATTCTGAATATGAAGCTTGTGCCATGTATTTCATAAATTGATAACTTCCTATATATACAATTCCAGAAAATATAGTTAAAATCTGTAATTATAATACATAGTAATTAATGTAATAATACAACAGTTAATATTCACAGCGATATTATGCTAAGTTGTACATCTTTGAATTACGCAAATAGCTTACTATTGACAATGTTGTAAAATTAAGAAATAACATTGTAACAGTAAAGTATATTCCTAATGCGCCAACAATCATATTTCGATAAAAGCTTAGTGTTGTCCTATTTTCCTCCACAATCTGTTTAGCTCCTTTCGTCGCTGCTTTAGTTTTTTTAGTCTGTAAAGAAATTAAATCTTATTTTCTTCTTGAAAACAATTTTCATAATAGATTATTGTTTCATGAATGAATTTATGACATATTGTAAGTGATACATTATATATCATATGAAAATGATAAGTCATCTGGTCAAGGTAAAAGCTGAATAATAAAAATAAAATAAATACAGTGAATGAATAATATTGTATGAAACTTACCGTCATCTTTTTGCTTATAAATTACACTAAAACGAATATTTGAAATCTTCAAGAAATTAATATTCGTTCAACAATCAATACATGACATAGACTTAACCTCCTCATAAGGATTCAAAAACACTTCGGCTCTATTGAAGCCACGTGAAAGATGTATGAAAGAAAAGTCTCTAGATTGCATTTATCGACACGTATTTTGATTTGAAAACATAAAAATAGGCAGAGTATTTCATTATATTGATTCTAACAATAAATTAAATTGAATATCTAAATTAAAGGACTACTTTTTGGTAATCAATGCTATAATACTGTATGTAGAAATAATTTCTGCACAAATGTTACAGTTCTAAACTTTAATGCTTAATTTGATATATTAAAGTGTGTTTCAATAAATTTTGTATAATTTATTTGACCGTATCGGAATCCACAATTAGAATTAAATTAAAAGAATAAATTACTTAAATTATCGCGGGTTTCGAACCGGAAATGAGCTTCTTCTAATTCTTTTCCCGGGATTCTCAAGATTCCAAGATATAATGTTACTGTGTATATATATAGTTTTTATTCAAATACATAAATGGTTATAGTTTCGATTATAATTAATCTTTTATATAATCCACTTAAAATATTGCTTCACGTACGAGGACATATCATGTAACGTGCACATAACATATATAATGCATATTATGCAGAAAGAAAGGGAAAGTTGAAAACTAAAAATCAATCGACATAGGAATTCCTTATATGACGATTTATAGTTGTAATTTTTAAAATTATGACTGTTACGATGATAATTATTACTAATGTTTATAGGCTACAGAAAGCAACAGTCATTTGGACAAGCGTAGAACTAGTTTTATTACTATTTCACTACGAATAGAAATACATGATTTAAGACACGATGAAGTTAGAACGTACTATCTTTTCTGTTACAGTTATATCAATCTTTTATCACTGTAAATTAGTTAAAAAGTATAATTCTTTATTGAACATAAAAAGTCAACGGTCAAGCTTTGTGCCTATTATATCGAAGTATTCTTTTTTAATACCCACATTTGTGTTCTTCTGAAAACTAAATTTGGTAAAAGTTTGTATCAATCGTATTTGCTATTTTTGTAATATATTGACGTTGTCTATTTTTTTTATAAAAATCATTTATATAACGTTGAACTGTTTCTCATTTTGAGGTGTACTTGTAGACATTAAAAATATTGGATAATTTAAAAAAAAAATGATTGTTCAGGATTATCGGGATTAAGAGTAATAAGATATTAAAATCAGTGTCATCGAAATAGAACACCGAGAGTTAATGGGCTAATTCATTGTTGAAATAGGTTATGTCGCAATACGTATGTATGTAGAATTCATTGTGACAGAATACCGTAATAATTTCTACGATTTTTCACACATAAGTGATAGAGTTACGTCAGGGGCTAAACAAAAAAAAACATTGTGTGATGTTTTAGCACTAAAATGAGTCGGAACGAATCGAAACGGGACGGTCGACCGAAATTTCCGACTTTGCACAATTTTCTGTAAGAAAACTCTACTTCTCTTATGATCGTTCGGTATTCGAATAATTAACAGATAAATGAAATCTCGATGGTGGGAAAGAGCTAACAAGACAGAGAACGATACATAGTTCGACAGATTATTAAAGAGATGCAATCTGTGTTGATCAAAGATAAGAATTCTTCGTTCTATCGAACGTTACTGCCGGTTTTAAATGCTCATCTTCTAATCGATAATGATATTCGTCGAATCTAATACGTCGTACTAGTTTTGTTTCAACATTGTTCGAAGAATTTTTCAGCGTTGTGCAATTTTCTGGGGTAAATCGAATGGTTCTTTTTCAAAAAAGAAACTATTAAGGGATATAACAGTTCAATTCCTTTCACTGACATTTACTTTCTCTTTTTTTCGATAACTCGTACGACGATGCAGTTTGCTAATTCTTTTTGTCATAAATATTTTTTTTATTTCTATGAACGTTAATGTGAATTAGCACATACATAAACTTCTTAACTTGTCTATTAAAACTTTATGCATATTGTACAAAGAAATGAATTACATCAACGATTTTTCAGTTTCCTTATTTTCAATATGATATATTTATGATATAACATATCATTTACTTCAAAAGTATTGATTTTTAAAATTAAAATGTGTTTCAGGTACTCCATGTTATAAACTTATAATGTGATAACATTGGGACCTAGATTTTTTCCCTCAGGATCATGAATGTAATCATGTAGAATTCAGTGTAAAGAAAATGATGCCTCATTTTGTAGCTTTAACACCTGTACGAAGACGATGTTTGATGATACTGTCAATCATATTAGTGCCATGCGCAATATTAAACCTTTTATCGCCATCGGATTTGCATGAAGAGACTGTTTTGCAGAACAGTATTGCAGAATTACAAGCTAAATTGGAACACTTACATGCTAAATACGTTACAAGTCAGGAAGAAATAAATCTACTATCGCATCAGCTACTACAATTAATAGAAAATAATCACATTTTACCAGATGTTCAATTTCTACTTAACAATGCAACAACAAATGTGACCAATATAAAATTACCATCTATATACAATTTTCTTCCACATTTTTTGAATGACCCTAATAGTTTACATCCAGCATTTGTTCAAAGCAAGGGACGTACTGGAGTTAGTATGATACTTGGTGTACCTACCGTTAAGAGAGAAGTGCAAACTTATTTAATGGCTACACTTAAGAATTTATTGGATCGTATGAATCCTACAGAAACAGCAGACACTTTAATCATTGTCCTAGTGGCAGAAGTAAGTAGTTAAAGTATAATAAAATCACTGAAAGATTTTTATTAAAATTATAACTTTTTAGACAGATTTGGAGTATGTTACCTATGTGGCAAAGCAAATTGAAGTTCAGTAAGTTAACTTTTCAAAATGTAAATGTACTGGCATGTATCTTTTATATTTGACTTTGTCTTACCTTTGGAATTAATGTTATCAATTCAAGTTTCCAAATATTTGCTAGTCATTCATAAAGTATATGAAAGTATATGTGATCTAAGATAATATATAAAATATTTCAGATTTCCAATTGAGTTTGAAACTGGTGTAATCGATGTGATATCTCCATCTGCATCTTATTATCCAGATCTATCTAAACTGCGTGATACTTTGGGTGACAATCATCAACGAGTAGTTTGGAGATCAAAACAAAATTTGGATTTTGCATTTCTTATGTCTTATGCTCAGACAAAAGGCACCTTTTATGTACAGTTAGAAGATGATATTTTAGCTAAAAAGAATTTTATAACTACAATGAAGACTTTTGCATTGCAAAAAATTGCGACCAAAGAAAATTGGTTTGTCTTGGACTTTTGTCAATTAGGATTTATTGGTATTGTATTATAAATTAATCGCTAAAGACGATTTCAAATTCGTTTTTTTTCTTATGTCACGTTTTTGTTCTAGGAAAATTGTTCAAATGTGCAGAACTGCCATGGCTAGTCCAATTTTTTTTAATGTTTCATAATGATAAACCAGTTGATTGGTTATTAGACCATTTGGTATCAACTAAAGTTTGTAGTCTTGACAAAGATAGCGTAAGTATAGATATTGTTAGAGATAAAAGATAATCTGTTAACAGAAATAATTTTTTAAACATATTAACAGATGTGTTCACATTTCAGAAACATTGTAAAATGGCTAAGGCCGAATTATGGGTTCATTACAAACCCTCCCTTTTTCAACACATAGGTACACATTCTTCGCTAAAAGGGAAAGTGCAGAAATTAAAGGTTGTTACTTCTCTTCAGAAATATAATACTTCTTTTGTTGTATGTATACTAGATAATAATTATGGGTTTATTTAGGATAAACAGTTTGGCAAAGTGACATTGTATTATGCGCACGAGAATCCAGCAGCCACAGTTGAAACGCGAATTAAACCTTACAAACAATATACATTACAAAAGGCCTACAAAGGAGAGTCCTTCTTTTGGGGTCTTCTGCCGCAGCCAGGGGACCATTTGAAATTTAAATTTTCACACCCTATTTTTATAAAAAGGTACTTTTCTTTCTCAATAATACCCAGTGTATATTAAAGACATTTTAACAACATATCCATGTCTCTACAGTGCTCATCAATTTATTTCTTCATACAGGTACTTATTTAGAAGTGGAAATCCTGAACACCCGTCTGACAGATTCTATAACACGACGGTGGAAATATTGACAGAAACATCCGTGTCTTTGAATAGAAATAGTAACGATGTTACCGAAGATGGTTACATTATTATAGGTACAATATGTTGTAATGTAGATCTATTTACATTATTGGTGCATTATAATTTACATGTCATGTATTTATTCAGGAAAATTTGATGTTCTTGGGGTTGCTCAAGGAACGGTTGATCCGAAATTCGGAAGGATATTAATACTCCGTTTGACTGTTCACAGTGAAAGTGAAAATTGGGCGATCTTATCTGAGGTAACATCTATCCATAAAAGTTGCTTATACAAAGCGTATAATAAATAATGAGAAACGGAACAATATGAAATTGATCTACTTTTTTACACTCGACAGATACATATAGTCGAAGATCATCCCAGTTGACCTTCAGGAAGGGTATTCCGAAATTACGTTCGGCAGCATTTACAGGGAAAGTACACGTAATAAGTTAATGAATAAATTATTTTTAGTTCAATGTGTGTCACTATGTGTCGGATAGGTTTTGAATTATAACAAAAATGATTTGTTTCATGCCGTCCAACGGAAGAAAGGAAATTGCTTGAACATTGTTTTAGCAAAAAATTCTATTCATCTTTTCTGATGAATTTATGAATGCATTTGATTCTTAAAGAAATCAACATTATATACTATATACATTTATATATATATATATATATATATATATATATATATATATATATATATATATATATATATATATATATATAAATGTGTATATGTATTATATATTATTATACGAAGCGACACGATGTCAAGGTTTTTTATTATCGAAATTTTATTCCATTTTACTAAGGTCAGTGCTCGAACGATTTACGAAATTTTCGACCACTTTTACCACTCTTCTAATCGAAACAGTACCTGCGTAGTCAATATATATTATTTCGTTCATTAAGGGTCAAAATACAAATTATAATTTCACGTATTTCTTGTGAATTAGTCTAGAGAAGAGAAAAAGGCAAACTCGTTTTGTGATCTAAAGCACAATGTTATTAATATTAACAAGAGTGCAGTATATATTTAACAGCGCAATAAAATTAAGTGCCAGACTATTTTAAGAGACCTAAGATCGATACGCGGATGGAATGATGTTACAAAGAGAAAAGGAACAAGCAGGAATATACGTATTTGATATATGTATAATTATGTGCAATTATATACTTTCTGTAATATATTATTAAAACTGTAACATTAAAGATCTAGACTCTCGGATCTTTGTTAAATTTTAAGATGAAAACGGTGATAAGAAATTTGTATTGTTCTCCTACATGTATTATTTATTTCGTATTGCTTCTTATACACATAAATATACACACAATACAATGTATTTTCATATAAAATAAAGTATATTTTTCTGAACAACGCTACGATTGATTTGACTCTCATTGGTAGTCAAAATTCAAAATAACAATGCAGAAATAATAAAAATAAAGCTCTAACATACGCCGCGTATACGTTATCTCGTTTCCATAGAACTTGTACTATCTACACCAGTCAGATCAATTAAGAAACTTCGAATCAATTCGCATTAATATTAAATCAAGTGAACGTTTAATTACTTAAATATCCTAAACGATTCGATAGAATGGTAATTACGTTCTCAGAGAAATCAACACCCTATACGGGTTAGGACTAGACGTAACTCCATCGGAAATCTCATTGTGAGATGGTTTCCTTTCGCCAGGCACCGTTGAGAATGTGAACTGTTGTAGCAGCGCGGTGATTATGATGAACAAGTTGCTCTTCGCCAATGTTTCTCCCATACAACGATGTCTCCCTGTTACAAATCAAATATCACGTGTAACTAATATAATGGGGCGTATATGATCCACACCGAATTTTCCGTTCAGACCGAAAATGAATTCTCATTGAAAAACGAAGAACTTTTTCAAAATTTAGTGTAGAGTCAAAGATAGGTATTTTAATATGTATACTGCGTTTATTTAATTTTTATTGATTGTAAAAGTGATGATCGTGTATGCCCCATAAGACCTGAACGGAAAGTCTTAAAAAAATGGTCCGGCACGGAACGTGTTAACACGTTAAGCGCCACGAAAATCTTAAGCGTTTTCCCATAGAGTTTGTCTTTTGTAGCAAAGAAAAGTATCAACTGAGTTGCCTCATTAAACATTTTTATTTCACATCGGTTGTCTTGTATGTTACGATTGATTTTAATCATTCAGAAGCGTCAGTCACCAGTGACTGACATGGCACTTAACGTGTTAATAAATATTAGATCGTTAATCTTCCATCTATATACCTACCAATGCTAAACGGAAAATACGTGTTCGGGGTAACGATGTTGCCCGATTCATCGATGAATCTCTCTGGTCTGAAAACTTCAGGATCACCCCAGGATTCGTCCATCAGTATCCCGTTGAAGTTCACGATCAGCATCGTATCCTATAATCAACTCGATTAAACGACCTTCCGAAGTACAACGAGTATTCCAATACTTGCATTCGTGCGGTCATGTTCCACAGAATTGAAATCGACTACTGACTTTCGGTATTTTATAGCCCAAAATGGTGGTGTCCCTCAGCGCTCTATGGGGCACGTTCAGTGTCCGACCCATGAATAGCCTCAGAGACTCTAGGACGATAGCGGTCATGTACGGCATGCTACGAAATCATCTCAGAAAATTAGACTATCCATCAGTGACGATCATTTTTAATGAACACGTCGAATGCCACGAGGGTAATCAATGACCACCGACCAAACCGATCACCATAGTTCACTCGATTAACCCTTTGCACTCGAAAGTTCTTCACTTGAAATATTCTATACCTTCTAATTAGATTCTTAAAATTCTTAAAATTCGATTCTTTCTTCTAATTAGACAAGATTCTTTAAAATGAATTTATCAGGAAATCACATAAATTAGGGAACAAAGTATTGTATTTTTTCCATTCCGGGTATTTCCCTCTACGAAATCGTGCGGCGTTCAACGTGTTAAACATTGCCTCGTTGAAAATTCGTGGTAGTTCACTTACTTTGGTCTATCCTCCAGAGTCGGGAATCGATCTCGACCAACTACTCTGTCGATTTCTTCGTGGGCCTTAGCCTGGACGCTCGGATAGAGAATTATGTTCAGAAAGAAAAACGCAAGCGTGTTCGATGTGGTCTCGGACCCTGCCATGAAGAGGTCCACGCAGATCGCCAGCAGCTGGGACTCTGAAATGCGAATGTCCTTGAACAAATTCCTCCATTCATCATCTCCAAAGGATTCTACGAATGCAGGATTTATTTCACCGTTTCAGTACATTTCTATTTCTCGTGTACGGAAATAGGTAATTGTCTCGTTAAGGAAACGTGTAAACACATTTTTTCATTGTTCGTTAGGAATGTTTAAGTGCTTTTAAGCTCTCGGTCCACACCTGAAAATGTGCTGCTGTAGTTCTCGGATTTAAGAACACCCAGGTAGACGTCCATCAAATCTCTGGGCGAATCTGGCTTGAAAGTATTTTTGTGATTATCCAATTCCTCCTACAACGATGCCATTTAGTTTCTGTGCACAACTGACGACGTTCCCGTTACTCGTCCAACGTAAACAGTCACGAGTCTATTTCACCTGTAAGAACTTCCAAAGCTCCTGATGAATCTCCAGGAAGGACTTGTAACCGGACAACTCCGGCGCGATGAATCTTAGGAACGGGAAGTGACCGAAAGGCGCCCCGACCATGTCGATGTTCCTCATCAGCTTAGACAGGATCCGTTGAAGATAATTCAATTCCGGGTGATCCACGTCGAACCTGCAGCCACAACATATCGATACATTTACTTGCTCGCCGAATCAATTGAAACTTCTGTAAATCCTTTCGCTTGATTCTACTTTGCAGCTATCAACACTAAGTTCACGGTTCGTTTAACCCTTTGCACTCGGGAGGTGACTTACTCGCCACTTGATTTTATACGCTGAAACTGTAAAATTTGATATTTAACGTTGAACTTTGCGTAATGCCTCGATACGTGAAATATTGGAATAATCGAGTTAGTTTCACAAAACATCGTCGTTGTCTCATCAGAAAATGTTAAGTATTTCTAGCGAGAAACTTCCGAGTGCAAAGGGAATCTTCGAAATCCGACATTCGAAGATCATCGGAACGCATATTCGAGTGATCGTGTCAATGAAAATCGACGCCAACATTCGCCGAGCAATGTTTATTTATCTAGGTCCCGCGAGCTTAGTGTCAGGGATACTTCGATAGATCGAATGGTCGCCCTGAAAACCGTAGAAAATATTATAATTAATCTCGAGCGTTAGATTCGAATTGAATTGATGAAAAATTCATAGAATAGACAACCTTTTACCAGCCATCATTCTCCACAGTGTATTCAGAACCGTAACACCGAACGCATCATGCATCGGGATCACTATCCCAGGATTCGATCCAGCCATCCTCCTCACTTCCGGATACTCGTTAGCGTCGACGTACATGTCGGACGCTTTCAACGGCTTCTCCGTCTTCGCGCGCGGCTCGTTCGCCGATTTCTCCGGCGCGTTTGTTTCGATCAGCTTGTAAATCTTCCCGTCGTCCTCCACGTTGTTGTTGCACCTGGACTCCGCCGATTCGGCCTTGATTTTATTATCCAGCTCGACGCTGATCAGCTTCTTGAAGTGTTCGATCAGCCATCGAGTCTCTTCCTCGATGATCACGGCCATGCTCTTCCGGCCGAAGCCGAACTCGCGGAGTTGCTTCAGAACGAACCTCCTTTGCTCGACCCACAGGTTCTCGTCCACGACGATCAGACCTGTGTTCAGCGAATGAGATCGTTTAAAATCAAATAAAAAATTAACCCTTTGCACTCGGAAATATTTCGTTAGAAATACTTAACATCTAACGAGACGAAGATGATGTTCCTTAAAATTAACTCAAAGAGAAATCACAAGTAAATTGAGAAACAAAGCTTTCATCCCAATATTTCACATATGAATGCGTTATACGGAGTTCAATATTAAATATCAAATTTTATAATTTTACTTCATCAAATCAGGTGGCGACTGAGAGTCACTCTCGAGTGCAAAGGGTTAACTTCAGTTATATATCTAACGTACAATGGTCAACGCGAGATCATAGGAAAGCGCGGTTTCCCAAGACAGAGCAGAATGAAATTTGATGTCGTAACGTACGATTCGTTAGCGACCGATTTCTATTTCCGAGAAATTAGAAAAAGTTTCTCCGTTTCAGCGTGACGCTGGAGTGTCGCAACGATGCGCGGCTAATAAAATTACGTTGCCAAGAGGAGAGGGATTATTACCTCTCCTTGCGCCGAAAGTTCTCGTTTCGTAAACAGGACCGATCGGCCTTCCGTCGCAGTCCTCGTTGGCCAGCATCGACCGGATGCTCTCGTAGTCGTTCAGCACCACCATACGATCGACGCCGATCTTCAGGCCCACCACCGGCCCGTACTTCTCGCAGAGCGCGGAACAGGTTTTGAAAAGAAAGCCGGTCTTCTCGCGAAGACGCGCGATCTCCACCGCCGAGCCTAATATGGGCCACCATTTTGGACCTGAAACACATCCGGTCCTTCGCGTTACGTAAATCCCGACTGGCTCCCCCTCGTCGTTCGCGACACTTTCGACGAGCGACCGGACGTTTCCCTTGAAGATACTCTTTTGCAAGATACGCGAGAAAGTTCTCTGCTTTCGAGCTATTGACTTTGATGTCATCCTCTTCGCCTCGATTTGCTTTGCAGTTAGAGGCTCGTAGGGGACTCGTCGCTTATACCTGGAGGATATCCTTCCGGTTTTCGCGTTCCCAGGTGAAACAGCAGCAACAGTAGGATCACCAGCAACAGCAACGTGTAGAGCATGCTGCGAACAAAATTAACGTTGCTTTGAGTAATCTGTTCAAGTTCTTTAATCGATCGTATCGCTTCTTATTCGGAGCCTTTGAAACTATTCTTGTCCGAGAACAAAACTAATGTCGCTCCGAACAATTTGTTACAGTTCTTTAATCGATCGTGTCGCTTCTTATTCGGAGCCTTTGAAACTATTCTTGTCCGAGAACAAAACTAATGTCGTTTCTTTTGGAAACTTTTAATAAAATGAATTTTTCGAGGATTCTATTTCTGTGGATTATCCTGTGATAATGTTCATTGATGTAAACCGCAGTCTAATAGGTGAAGTGTCATTTAATTTTAAATATAGCACACTGATAGGAGCGAAGATTTTTAGTTCGTTGTACAATGTTAGTGTCAACGTTTCATTTGTTTATCTTATTCGTGCAGCATTGTGTTTTCATTCGAATTCTTTTCCCTCGGTTCGAACTGTTGGAAACAAACGGTTCCGTTCCGCTTAATTTGGACAGAGGAGCGGCATGTGGTTTGTTCACTTGCAAAAGAAAGTGTGACACGCAGAATGTATGGGTGAAAGTTGCACGCGGAAGAACCGACGGGAGTAGACACAATATTTCATAACTTCTTGCGTAACCGATGCACATTTCGACGTGCTCTTTACGATGCGAGAGCACTCTTCTTCTTTATTGCACACTTTCAAGCTTCGGTGCGTTTGTGCGTCCATTATTTGCGCTTTCAATGTACCCTCTAGCGCGCAAACAATTTATTTCTTAACCATCTTCACGATATATACCGATTCATGAAGACCCATCGCTCTATTTTGGCAACAGTTTCATTTTAATTTCCTACTGGATCGACAAGTGTTACAAAAAAATACAGAAAACGCAAGTACAATCTACGCGTCATTGGATGTTAATAGACTGAATTAAAAATTCATAGATTTCATTATTTTTTCCACGAGTTATTTATTTTTTAGCATTTTCACATTGTACACGAATGAAAAATTTCTTCTTGTGTATCTTTTTTGTATCAAAGATATGAAACGATGAGTTTGACCAATGTCACGTTTTTATTTAAGCTTCAACGACGAGTAATGAGAGAGAGAGAGGGAACAATTGTTATTTAACGCGAACACTACGACGCTAAAAATGAACTTCCAATGCCCGCCATTGAACTTACCTTATATTCGAAGGAAAGTTCTTCTCTCCTCTGTAAGCAGAACTGGCTTTGGACAGGCTCGCATACGGCTTTTAAATACCCCCCTACGACACGTTGATCTTTTTATTTTGCGGGCAGAAGTTGTTGAATAACACCCGTAAAATGTAGCACAATATAAGGGGACAGTTAATCGAAATTCGCGCGAGAGATCTCATCGTGGATAACCGTAACTTTGTACTCTGTAAAACTGATTCGCAGAGTCGTAAAGAATGTTATAACTAAATTGACGAGTGTCTTAAATATCTAGTATTGTCGTAGTTCGTAATCATGGTTTTTCAGAACTAATTAAAGTAACGTTTATAAGTATTGTATAATAAGTATAAATAAGTTTGAAAAGGAAACAATTACATTTATTATTTTTATTGTTAAAGAAAACGGGCTCTTCAGTGATATAAAATGGCAAGGTGTGTAGTTTCATCGTGTCTGTATTTTAGACTTATTAATTGTATATCTGTTAATGTTTATTTGGATCATTCGATGGTAATACATCAGTTTCCTCTGTACCCGTTGCTTCTTTTCTTTCCTTTTCATCCATCAGTTTTTTTATAAGATCAATAACTTCTTCTATTTCCATAGTTTCTTTTATTCTCTTTTCATCGGCAGTTTCTTCTATTCCCTCTTCATCGACAATTTCTTCTATTCCCTCTTTATCGACAGTTCCTTCTATTTTCATTTTTTCTCGCCATTTATCTGCTTCGGTAATTTCTTTTGTCTTCTCCGTTGTAACAGGTAAACGATCGCCCCATTCGCTACTTCTGGCACAACGGTATGTTTGCCTAAAAAATAGGAAATGTATTAATTTAGTACTACACACGCATCCGAATGCATCGATTAGAATCTGAAGGACACAGACTTCCCGTTCTGCCATGCAGTGAAAACCTGTTCGTGTAATTCTCCAGAAGCTGCACACATGCGGCATATAGCATGCTTCGAACGTTTCAACACTTGGTTAATAAGTCGAGGCCAGTTGTCGTCATTTTCTGAACGTTTCTCTACAATTGAATACTTAAAAATGAATTACAAGTAAAAGTTTCTTTCGTCATTTTCTATTTTAAAATGAATATTTATGTAATACCTTTCTTAAGCACTACATACGAATATCGTTCACGTTTGTATTCAGACGTTTTAGGAATAGGTAATGTTAAATATACAACCTCGAAATTACAGGGAAGTTTATCCTGTAAAGATCTGGGACATGTCAAGTCATGTGGACACTAAAAAAATTGTATGATTATTTCGTACTTTAAATGTGGAGACTTTTTCAGTATGCTTCAGAATTGAACATATGTACATATGATATGTACTTACAGGCGAAAATACATGCACACCTGACTCATCCTTTTCAGTGTAATTAAGTATAAAGTCTCGAGCTTCATTGATTATCTATTTAAAAGTAAGTTATTAATTATTAAATTGATAAAATGAGTAGATCAATTATAAGAGAGTAAATTTTACCTCAAATCCAACTTTTGTTCCTTGTTCTACAATAATTAGATATCGTGATGTCTTATCCCAAAGTTTCTTGATCACTTCAATTCGTGTTTTTTGGTTTGGTAATTCAAGTAAGGAATATGCACTCACTACAATATCATAAGTTGGCTATAACACAAAACATATGTATACGTACAAAAGTTATCAAAACGTTTTATCATATAATAATTTGTGTTCTTACAACTGGTGATGCAGGTAAAAATTGTCTGTAGAAAATATATTTAGATGTAATATGGGGTGTAGCCCTCTTTATAATATATTCAGACAGATCATTCATATCACCAGAAACATCAACACAATAATATTCCATAATAGATTTAACCCAGAAGTAAGATGCTGCCCTAAAAGAAATTCAACTTGTATTTTTCACTACTTTTGTTCATATCAATCAGAGAATAAGTAGACTCGCATGTCTTACCACATGACTGTTCCAACACCAGAACCAAAATCAAACAATGTTTTAGGTACAAAATCAGTATCTCTATGTTTAATTTCATTAAAGATTTTGTACAGAACAGTATATTCAGGTACACTTCTGCTTACTAAATATGACAAGCCTGTATGCCTATCATATTCAATTGGCGCCCAATGATAAACAAGATCCTTAAAGAGTCTCAAAGCTTTTTGGTTATGCTGTAAATCTTCCATACTTATATCTTGTTTAAGACGATTTTGAACTTTTTTTAATTTAATTTCAATGTCCTTCCCTTCAGGTGGAGCATGTCTTCCTTTTAAATATAAAGCCATCTTTTGTCCACTTGTGTAAATTGATTTTATTGGTATAGATGTATCTTAAATAAATATTTCTTTTAATATTATTTAATATTTATGTTGCTAAATATATTTTTACTTCTTTGTTACCTTTTAAAAGTATTCGAATTACATCATAAAGCCATTTGGGATGTTCTGGTACTCTGGGCCTAATTATACCTGGATGAGTTCTGTGTTTCATTTCTCCAACTGATATTTTATCAAGTACAGGCTCTATGACTTGAAATTTATTCTTCGTTGAATACTATTTAAAAAAAGGAGCACAGCATGTAAAATTAACTTAGAATTCTTTATTAGACTAATCAACCATCAATATTTTTTAAACAAACGAAATCACTCGAAAATAATACTAAAGTTTTTAATTGCTTAGCACTACTCTACATTAAAATAATAGTATTAATTGTTTAATTACCCATCGTAATTGTTTGTATCTCGCGAATGTTAGTTTTGTTGACATAATGAACAATCTTATTGTTTTTTGTCAATTGTTTCCGATGCAGATTACTTTGGAACAGTGGACCTATCTATAATAAATTTACAACCAAAAATATCAATTACTTTTTCCAATAATTATAGTAACAAAAACTGAAATGTGATTGTGAAATAATTTTAAAACGTGCATTATATCATAAGTACTATGCGGTGTTCATAACCTGAATGAATTTGTGTACAATGCAAGTACCTTTCGTAAGTTCAATTTGTTTTTCCTAAAATAACTCGTTATGACTTCTCTTGATGAACCATTTATTCTGATACCTGTACTTTACTGTATTTGTTAAAGTACGGGTACTGCAATCATCGAACAATTTAATTCCTGAACGAAAATGAAGTTCGCAGAGCATTTAAGTGCTCATATTACACCAGAATGGAGAAAACAATATATAAATTACGAGGTAAAACCGAAAGTTTAATGCTTAAGTTTTACTATAATATTTAATATCTTTTTATCGAACCTCTCAGCAACAATATTTTTTCAATGATACTTTTCCAAAAGTTAATTATTATTTTTAGAATTATTTTCTATTTTTTGTTAAATGTCTTTTTTTGGTTTTTTATTAAATTTTAAACCTCAGAGAATATTGCAGAGAGAGTTTTATGTTAATATTTTTTAATTATGGCTGAAATTCTTTTGGGGAATTGAACCTTATCTCATGTGCTATTTAATGAGTTAATATGCCCATTAATTAGTGATTTATAAACTTATTGAGTACTCTGAAAGATATCCTTATATTGAAATAATAATATTGTTACACAGGAAATGAAAGCTTTGCTCTATGCAGCAGTAGAGCAAGCACCATCAGCAGATACAACAGAATCGCATGTATTGGAACGTTATTTTAATAAGTTTGATGACAAATTTTTTCATTATTGTGACAAAGAACTAGCAAAGATAAACACATTTTATTCTGGTAAGTTACATCACATATATCTATGTTCTTTTATAGTTAGGAATTTCTTATAACATTATTTACTTCTTTAGAAAAGCTGGCAGAAGCTACACGAAGATTTGCAAGTCTGAACAATGAATTAAGCGAAATTTTATCAGTCTCTGAGGATAAACAGGGGAGCCGTAAATCTCGTTATCGTAATAATATTCTGCACAAAAAGCCAGTCTCAGCACGCAAACTTCAGGAACTAAAATTAGCTTTCTCTGAATTTTATCTGTTTCTTATTTTACTTCAAAATTATCAAAATCTTAATTTCACTGGATTCAGAAAGATATTAAAAAAGCACGATAAAGTATGTACAAATGGATTGTACATATGTAAGGTGTAGTATGTAATTTACACAGCCCTGTTTTCATTGCTGCTGGTCTAAATAAGGACATAACTCTTTTAATATAATTTGAAAGGTGACCTACAGAAGTCACAAGGTAGATAGGTATAAAATGTTATTGGTGAAAAAAAAATCTTATATGATGTACAATGAAATTAATAGGGATGGTCGTATTACATAGTTCACCCTATATGTGCAAATGTATATTCGTATTATTTAAAGAAAAGCTATTGTGTTATTTCAGCTTTTAAATATAGAACTTGGGGCAAAATGGAGGGCAGAACATGTAGACACAGCATTGTTTCATACACACAAAGATATAGACAGACTTATTGCCGAAACGGAAGCATTAGTTACTCGGGATTTAGAACAGGGAGACAGACAGCGTGCTATGAAACGTTTAAGAGTACCTCCACTTGGAGAACAACTATCTCCATGGATTACATTTAAAGTTGGAATATTTTCTGGGGCTTTCGTTGTACTTCTCATAGCGGTATTACTGTCAGGTGAACAACTGTTTCTATAACTGTATCATAAAAGGAATTGAAAGCATCTTAAAACATTTATTATAATTTGCTCTACTTTTATAGGTATACGATATAAAGATAATAATAACTGGCGAGTTTTATGCAGATTATATCGCGGACCACTTCTCATTGTTCAGTTTTTCTTCCTTATGGGAATAAATGTGTATGGGTGGAGATCTTCTGGTGTAAATCATGTCTTAATATTTGAGCTTGATCCTAGGAATCATCTGTCCGAACAGGTTGTTTTCAGTCATTGATATTAGAGTAGCATACAGATAATCATTAATAAATTATTAATTATGTATTCACGACCAACATATTTTCAGCATATAATTGAAATGGCAAGTGTGTTTGGGCTTGTTTGGTCCTTATCAATATTAGGTTTCCTGTACAGTGAAACATTAGGAATACCACCATTTGTTCAACCAGTAAGTTTTCGTATCAATCAATTAAACAGAAACTGTAAATAATTAAATTATTGGTTGCAGATGTTATTATATACATTATTAGCTCTATTTTTATTTAATCCAACAAAAACTTTGCGACACGAGGCTAGATTTTGGGCGCTTCGAGTTATGGGAAGAATATTTTGCGCCCCCTTCTTTTATGTCGGCTTTGCTGATTTTTGGCTCGCTGATCAGTTGAATTCCCTCCACACTGTTTTCTTAGACTTCCAGTATTTTGTGTGCTTTTATGTACAAAACTCTTCTTGGACTAGTGTTACAGGTGTGTAAACAATTATAGCATGATCTCAACAAACTTTTATTTATATAATTATATTTATTTTAGACGCAGAAACTTGCATAATGCGAGAACTATCGATGAGACCATTTGTGGCTTGTTTACCAGCCTGGTTTCGATTCGCACAATGTTTGCGTCGGTACAGAGACACAAAAGAGGCCTTCCCCCATCTTGTAAATGCAGCGAAATATGCTACCAGTTTCTTTGTTGTAGTTTTTTCATATCTACATTTGACTAACTCCAGTAAGTTTTAATTGTCAGCATGACGCGAGCCTTAGAAATTTCTTCATGGGATCTTCTTACAGAGTATTATGTGATGTCGACAGAGAACCCTTATTTTTATCTGTGGATCACCGCAAGTATAATGAGTTCTTGTTTCGCTTACACATGGGATGTGAAATTGGATTGGGGATTATTCGATAGCAATGCGGGAGAAAATAAATTTCTCAGAGAAGAAATAGTTTATTCTTCTCCAGTAAGTTTGTCGTTATAGTAGAAAGCAGCACCATGATCTTTCTCAAGCCAGTAATTAAATTTTCTTTGCATTTACATTGTATTGCAGTACTATTATTACTTTGCTATAATTGAGGATTTTATACTTCGTTTTGGTTGGGCATTTTCCTTGTCTCTAACTGAAATGGGATATGTACATGCAGATTTGATGGTCTCTATAGTTGCTCCATTGGAAGTGTTCAGGTATGATTAAATTAAAATAACATCGCTGTTAGAAAGATACATATTTTTTTTTATAGCCTTTACTGTGCATGCCATAATGTAAACACATACGAAGTAATTTATATTGCACATTTTTGTGTACCGTATAATTTTCAGTGCAGCTTAAAATATATTTTTGCTTGCATGTTATTAAAAGATCAGTTAACATTTCAGTCACACCTGGCCTACTCAAACATATATCTGCTGAGTGAAACTAATAAATTTCAATAAATAGCACGATGTAAACAGATTTTATTGTTTATTTCATTTTTATTCCCTCATACATTTTATAGGACAAATATACCTTTCATTATTTTGATTTTTCTATTTACTAAATGTGTACATGGTCTTTCATTTTGTTTTATTATTGCTGTACCAGTAATCAAAAGTCATTCTACTAAAATATAATAAACAACATTTGGAATATATCATAAATCATCTTACTAATCAGTTGATAGAAGATACAATTGGAATTACTTTCGTCTCGAAAATGAACATCTAGGATCAAATAGGCAAATACTACAACGTAGGCAAATCCCAAGCAGGTCGGGATATCTTCATAGGACTTTCTAGATACCAAGAAGAAAGACAAAGAGCCAAAGACGGTAATGCACCTAATGGATCGAACGAACGACGAAGTCGATGACCTCAAGAAATTCCATGATCGTTGAAATTAGCATTTTCTAACCGAGAGATTTTATTTTTCTATTTATAACCTCACGCGGTATGTTTCATACGAAACACTACATTCTCATTCATCCTACAAGGTTAATTATTTATTTTCTGTAGATGACACACTAATTTGCATGCAAGCAGTTCAGCATGAATTAAGCTTTCGACTAATGATACAAGTTCAATTAAAATCAACTGGCCGTTACATCCTAAATGTTAATAAAAACCTTATCAAACGTTATTACGATCACATTGTTTTTATTCTACGCAGTAAATATTCGCTCAAAACAAACGATTTCCAATGAACAATTAATTTTCAGCCATCCCATAGTCCAATCTGCAAATTTGTTTCGTTAATACGTTTGACCTGAAGTTATCGTACATATAAATGTAACAGCCAATTATCGATCGCACGGATCGCGGGAAGTAATCGTTAGTCTTTCTCCTGCAGGAGATTTATATGGAACTTTTTCCGCTTGGAAAACGAGCATCTGAACAATTGCGGGAAATTCAGAGCGGTTAGAGATATATCCGTTGCTCCCGTCGATTGTTCCGATCAAACGCAAATTTTACGAATGATGGATGCAACGGACGGCGTGGTGAACAGAAAGAGAAAGCAAAAATTAACGGAGAAAAGCAAACCACGTGCTCTCTCGAAAGGCGAATCATTGATTTGCGACGTAGACACTTAAACGACATTTCTCATCTTATATTTCGAACTAGAACAACCTGCCCCTATTTGTACAAATAATTTACTTACTTTGCATTCGTTCAGTGCCTCCTCGGCATGTACAAAAAGAATATTATTTTCTGACGTCGAATGCTGGTTATGCCCACCTTTTTCAAACCTAGTCGAAACCTGTGTCGAAGTTCAAATAAATTCAGGCATCGCTTGACGGAGGTTAACGTATGAATATATATTACCTGTTAAATGTGAAATATGCATAATTGTATGAATGTTGTATAAGATCGTTGGATATTGTTTAATAATCACACTCGTATATTCGAATCGTTTAACGATCGTTGAACGCGGGAATAGTGAGCATCGAGAATCGACACTCTCGAGGCGGTTCGAGATAATCGATGGGACGATTCGTCGATTTATTCGAATTTCTTCGAAATACGTAATGTTTATCACAAACTGTACCGTGAATAAAGTTATTTTAATGTTTTCCTAATGAATCTTTATTGCTTCGCTCCCTTTATTAGAACGCTATACCTAAATTCGGATAAAAGAAGGAATATACAAATATACCAATAATAAGAGTATTAACCAGTTAACTGTAGAATTTAGTTGGCAAAGATGCCTCTCAGTCACCACTCGATTGGTGCATCAAAATTATAAAATTTCGTATTTAACATTAGGTCTTGAGTAATCTGTCGATACGTGAAATGTGGAAATAAAATACCAATGTCCCCCTTACTTTATGAATAGATTCCTCGTGAAGTTAGTTTAAAAAAATGTCATCTATATCTCATAAAAGTAAATTGAACATTCCTAGCGACAAATTTTTTGAGTGCAAAGGGTTAAAATATACTCTACGCGCATTCGTCCTACGTTCGACGAGCACACGCTCCATTTTTTTATTTTACTGAAAACGCAGGTTTTTCCAACTGAATTCCACAGTTAACTGGTTAATCGAATTATAGTGACTCGATTCGGTTGGGGGTCACCGGTGACCCCCACGGCATTCAACATTAAAGAATCGACCGTTGCACGCCTCTGTTGTTACACGAATGCCACGGGTCGGCGATTTAACGGTTTGTCAGCGGATTCCCCGCGAGTGTTCGTAAGCGGATAAACGTATTAAGGAGACGTTCGCCCGCGGCGGAGCGTTTCAGTTAGAAAATAGAAGCGGCTGACGCGTGTCAGCGGTTTAAAAACGAGCGCACACGCCTGTGTACACGTATTTGTTATAAATTTTAGCCCGACACCGTCAGTAAAAATGTTTATCGGCGTTCGCGGCCCACGCGAATCAGCTCGGAACGCTTCGGCCGGAGAGGAACCAGTGGAAAGAGCGTGCCACGTGCGGACACGTTGATAGAAACCTGCCAGATATCGAGCGGAATTAAGTTGTTTAGCGAAAAGCTAGAGTTGGCGTCAACAATTTTCATCGGCGTTGGGACTGTCCGCGGTTTGGATTATCAGTCGCCGAGCGACCAGTGAATTATCGGAGCGCGAAACCGTAGCTTCGTTTTCCGGCTGCCAGGCAAACTGTATTACACTCGAGATTCGTTTATGAAGTTTTCTGTCAAAATCGTGTCAATTCGTTTATGAAGTTTCATGTGAAATTCGAACGAGTAACGTAGCTGTGTTTTATATATACTTTGGGGAATATATTTTCAAGGTTGTAAAAATGATAATTTATGTATTAAGGATTGTTTCATTCGAATTACTAATTGGTACAAGTTATACTAATTTGTAAGTTAAAACGACATTAAAGACTTCATTCCCTAGTTTCACGAAGAGACAACTTGCTTTTACACTGTCAACAACTAGGTCGAAATAACAATTGGGTTGACCAAGTAAGACTTCTCTATCCGATACTACTAAAACGACGAACCCTTTAACACAGAGGAACCCACCCCCCGAAGGTGATAATCGAGTCAGAAACTTGTACTCTAGAAAAGAATCATCGAATATTTCTGAAACGAAACGTATTCAGAGTCTATAAGAAAGGCTCGACCTTGAATAACCAAGAAAAATACTTCGAAAGCTTTAATTCCACGAACATCGAGAAGAACCAGGAAACGCCCAAAAAGCGACTTCACGCGTGGACTTCTAACTCGATTATCGGGTGAATTCGCAGGCATTAAGGGTGTTCCCCAGAACGAAGCGAAGAGCGCCATCGACCGGGACGTCCTCGAGGTAGAATGTCAGCCCTCGTAAATCCTGTGCCTTGCGGTGTGTAAGTACAAGGCGATATACGGGGATTATCGGGTGAATTCGTGGGTCATCCAACGCGTTCCCCGTCGAACGAAGAATCTACTCAACTCGGGCATCTTCCAAAAAAATCGTCCATTCAGAATCGAACTTCAAGTTCCCGATCGGTGGCTGCGAGAAAAGGGAGGAGACATTCCTCGAGCGTGGAAAAGAGCAAAGGGCGGGCAGGGACAAGAGGCGTCGCGACTCGTCGCAGAGGAGAGGCCGAGGAGCGTCGGTTCCGTTGGCGTCGGTAGCCGCGCCGGTGGAAAGGGTAATGGCGGTATTGATTGGAAGCGGAACTTGACCGCGCAAGCTCTCTCTGTCTCTGCCCTCAATGAAATGACGCGCTTACATATGGAACCACGACGGACGGGACAACGATAAAAACCTGTGGATACCACACCTGGCCGACACCTGCCAGTCGCCGCGGTGACGATGACACCGTCCCTCTGCACCTGCACATGGCTGCTGTTACCCTGTTGCGTCCTCGTCACCCTCTCCATCGGCGAACTAAAGTTTTATCGAGGTGAGCGTTTACCGTCCCCGCGGATCAACTGAAAAACATTCGCGTTTTCGGGGGTAATGACACACGACGCCCGTACTATCGCCGGGATGGTACGCGGCGCACCTTCCGGTTGCCGCATCCTTCGTGTCGCATGCCTTCGCTTTTCTTCCCCGAGACTTTCTTCGTTAACGTTGGACTCGGCGAATTTTATTTGCGCCCGTGCCACGCTGCACCACCTAACGAAAGAGGGAAGGTTGCTAATTACGTGTAGCTTGGTAATGTTATCTCGATTTTTCGGCGTCGACGTGTTTGCGAGCTCGTGACTGACGTGTTGTTTCTTGCGTTTGATGATAGTTGCAGCATTAGTTAGAGGGAGGGCAGTGTTTCGGTAGATACTTTGGAAACGTTATCTCAGGTTTCGAGTATGCAGATGTTTGTTTTGGAATGTTTAATACCGAGGTGTTGTTTCTTGCGTTTGACGTTGATGGTTATGGACGAACGCGTGAAAATAGAATGTAGTTGTCAATGTTGCCCGGTGATAAGATTATGTCGTGATTGCGAACGTTGTTGCATTGATACGGTAAAATGTCGGCTCTAGGAGCGGCGCGATTCCCTTGGAAACTGTTCCCACTCGGGGAAACGTCTCCGTAGTCTTTCGCTGTTTCTTCGATATAGGCTCTTACATCATCATTGATCGACGATGCTAACGGTGCAGTTGGCTGACGGAGTCATCGCTTCGCCATTCCTCCGAATAACGCGAGGGTTCACCGTGAATTCGTTGACATTTAAACGAGCGAATTGACTTATTTCCAACGGAGAAGCACGTTTGCGTCATTCCGACGTGAAATTCGACGTTCATTTCTACAGGATTTTCTGTTGCGTCCTGTTGTACCGGTTGTTATCTCGGTTTCGTCAACTTGTCTCGCGTTTATCGCGGTTTCCTCGATCCGCCCGTTCCATTGTCAGTGAAATTAATCTTCCCTCTTATCGGTGGAACCCAGATATTCCTGTTTTCAAGGAAGTTCCGCCGTTTCGTGTCGGTTGGCGTCGGTTGGCGACTGCATATGGTTTCGCGAGCGTGTCCACGGGCATTAACACGGGGCAAGGGTCATTGGCGAATCAATTTAACCCTTTGCGGTCCGAAGTGCTCTTGGTTTCTCACTTTGAGGTTCACGTTGACGTTAGTTCATTCGATTACAGCTTAATACGACGCTTTATTTATTTATTCAAGAATATTTGGGAGTCGTTGAAATGTTACCTTTAAATGGTACAATCGCGATACTACGAATAAATATAGAAAAAATTGTTAAAATGACTCGACATAGGACTGCTAAGGGTTAAACCAGAAACGAAGGGAACATTGCGCTTCGATGGCGTTTCACGCGAGAAACGTCCACTGTTCTTTCGTTGGAATTCTGAACTGTTTAAATGCTTCGTAATTGATTGGTCAGCGATGAATTCGCCACACGAATGTTACGGAAAGTAACTTTCCTATTTATCAATGAACGCTAGGAGATGTTTGCCCTTTTTCCCTTCGATTCGCGGGGGAAGAAGGTCAGTCGAAGTTGACGGGAAACTTTGTTCGAGAAAAGTTTCGCTTGGCGGAGGGGATGTCGATGATTGTGCGCTCATCGGATCGTTGTGATGCACAGAGCGCGCGTAAATAGCAGCAGCACACAGGAAATCCACATACGGGCTCCTACGATAGTATCAGGAAGTAGACCGATAAGAGATATATATGTTAGTTTGGACAGTATATATATATATATACAAACTGGATTTACAAACACGTACCCTTTCGTTTTCTTCAGTTCGTTTCTGTCTGCTGCGAGAACATTTGGAAGTCAGAGGTTTCCGCTACAAGAGATTGAGTAGGCTTTTCTAGAAATTATAGGACAATCATTAACAAAGTACCCGTTCAGTGGCAAACTTCTGTAGACAGATTATTATTTACCATCGTTAAGATTTTATCTACCGAAAGCATATTAACAGATCTCTCGATAACCCTACTATATCAGAAAATAGTTAAACCTCTTCTAAACGATAATCCTAAGAAAAGCCATTGAAAACTCTTCAGTCGCCAATGACTAATCTTTAGAAGACCAGATATCAAATAATCGCCAACAGATACAACGTTAATCATACAAGACAAAGTTCCTATTAACTCTTTGCGGACGAAGATTCTTTGAAACGTAGAAAACCTTCAACAGATGAAGCTAAATTATATATTGATTGCTTACATAATAGCAAAAACAGAAACTACGTAACAATCCCTTGCTGTCCAAGCGATTAAATCATTCGCCTGCGACTCGGTATTCCAAATACGAACGTTTCATCTCGCCGAAATGTCGACATTCGTCCGCAAAGGGTTAAAGTACCGAAATCTTATCCTCGATTCGCTGCAGCCAAGATGACGTTGCGATCGTTTCTCAGATGAGGTGCCGGAAGCATCGAAGAACGCGGTGCTGAGGCAGCTGATCAAGGACGCGGAGTTCCGGCTGTCCGTGTTCCTGGCGAACCAGGCGCACTGGAAGCAGATGGTGCTGGACCGGCAGAAGACGAGGGAGCTGTTGGAGGCGTTAATGAGCAACGAGCCGATCAACGAGATGCCGCGGGAAAGGCAGCGCTACCTTCCCCTGCACCTCACCAAGTACTACCCGCCGCCCGAGAGGAACAACCCCTACGACAGTTCCGCGGAGTATCCCAGCTTCGAGTTGCCTTACCTGCCGCTCAAGGACAACATCGAGGAACCCGGTCTCCCGGAGAACGACTACGAGTACGACCAGGACGAGCTGCTCAAGCGTCGAGCTTACATCGACCGGGTGAACCTCGCGAAAGGGATGAAGAAGCTGTTGCCCGTTTACCAAGAGAGGTACGGGGAGCCGCCGAGCAGCGAGAACGACGACGACAAGATGCAGGAGTCGCTCGAACCCGAACCGGACTTCACTTTCAAGATGGACGACTCGAACCTGGCGGAGAGACACCCGTTCGCCGTGAAGCCCAACGATCCTAGGTACTACCAGGACGGTCCCTTCTCAACGGGTAGGTTCCGCTTGTTTCCTCTATCTCCTGTAATTCAGTGAAACATAAAAGAGTTAACACTAGGTTTACGGAACGCAAATTGACGCATATTGGATGTTAGAAATATTGTTTTGTAAACGTTTACGCCGATTTTGATTGATGCGATTACACTGACATGTACCCCAATTACCTGCTATCGAATCTCCAGTTTCCACAATCTAAATAAATCAATTCTTTTAGGAATAATAGAATGAAGTGTACAATAAATGCCCGTAAACCTAGTGTTAACCCTTTGCACTCGGAAATTTCTCACTAGAAATATTTAGCATTTTTTGACAAGCAAAGGGTTAAGTGTAGAAATCGGTGATCATCATTGCGAATGGCTATTGTGTCTAACTCTAAGATGTCCGAGCAAGGTATCGGATAGCGAACCGTTCTCAGTGCTTTGACTTACCGATTGTTCCACAGGAGACGCCGATCGCCCGAATATAGAGGTTCCAATGAGAAACGAGACGAAGCCGGAACTGGGGAACGAGAAGATCGGGGAGCAGCACAGGATGCACGAGGAGTCCGCGAGGAACGCTGACCTGCAATTCAAGGACACTTCGATGATCGTCTTGCCGGAGCTGGAGCGACGCACGGGCTACAATCCTTTGGTTGTGCCAGTGAATACTAACTTGAACAATGATATATACTTCATCGGTGAGGAAACGTGTCCGAATTATAAGATAAAGATTGCTCAGGGAACGCTTTTAACGATGCGGATCGATTCGTTTCGTTTCCAGCTATCGTTGCCGGCTGCAGTGCGGCCGCGATGTTCGTTCTTGTCTTGGTAACATTGACCTGGTGCAGGTAACCGACATTACGAACAGCAGATTATATGTTCTACTCTATTAACACGTTCACGACCAGCGTTCGTTTCGGCGGACAGTCTTCGTAGATCGAATATCTCGTTAACTAGGTTCAGGGAACGCGTCTGTTTGGCGCAGTTTCACCTAAAACTAGACCGTAACCGTCTACTTTCGACACTCTAATTTCAAGGATATATATTAACGAGTATCAATTTGGGGACATTAAAGGAAACTGTAGAATAGATGTCCGTGAACCTAGTAAATGACCTCTACGAAATGAAAATGAAGATCAGGAACGATCTCAGAGTAAAACGCGCGTGACTTGATTTTCATTGCGCGAGACATGTTCACGTTTTCGTGAAGCTGGTCGCGAATGCGTTAGCAGATGCAGCGAATAACGCGCCGATTTCCACAGATTGAAACGGGGAGCTAAAGCTGCAGCGGACATAGAGTACCCTGCGTACGGTGTGACAGGGCCGAACAAAGAGGTGTCGCCTTCCGGAGACCAAAGGCTCGCGCAGTCCGCCCAAATGTATCACTTCCAACACCAGAAGCAGCAAATAATCGCATTAGAGAAGTAAGTGGCTTAGCGGCAGTGTCACGGTAGCATTTAGATTAGGCCGACGCTTGATAGGCTAGGGTTTAAATGACTACTTGTGCAGTCGTGTTTCTGCGTCCAGAGATCCAGGCTCTGTTTCTGAAGCAGAGAGCGAGGAGGAGAACGAAGAAGGGGACTACACCGTCTACGAGTGCCCGGGATTGGCTTCTGTGAGTTGCCTCTTTCCGATTGTTCCGTTTTTTAATTATTCCATTGTATTGTGTATCGAGAGAAGAGAATATCAATGTGTTTATCGTAGGATACGATTGAATTCTCTGTAGATATTAGATTTCTTTCGAAGGTTATACGATAATAATGGAATATGTTAGAATATTATCAAGTTGTCCGTAGATATTGTTTACATTTATTTTTGGATATTATTTTTCACGTCTGTGAAGTATTCTATTGATTAATTTCGCGAGATTTAAAGTCACATTTGATTTTTAATTAAAGACCGGTGAAATGGAAGTGAAGAACCCACTGTTCCACGATGACCCGACACCAGCAACACCAGCACAAATGAATAAAGAAGAGGACCACATATAGTTTGAGTAAATTACGAGTAACATTTAACACCTTAAAATACGTTTTTTTTTCCCCCGGTGCTTAGCTCACTGTTAATGTACCATATCGGAAAACATTTATCTATATATTGAGTGTATACAACTTTAATATTTATATGACGCAGGAAGTCAAGATTGTAAAGTTAACTAAGGCCGCCTGACACGGGGGATGACACTTTTGCGTTTTCAGCAAGGGATTTTACCAATGTGAAACGATGATGAACGCTACGACGTCGTCACGGACTATCGTGTTTGTTTGAGAACACACCATGACTTTTTTAACTCCATGATGTACTATAGTTTGTACTTTCATAGGATGTATGGTTAGCCATACGGTTGACATTATTTTTCTACACACCGTTACTGACTTGCAACATAGAGTACAGATTGGAGGACATATTTTACTATCCACGTTCTAATCTCACTTGTCGACCATCAGATCCTGATTTCCGTGATCCATCGATGATCCAACGAATTTTCAACTATTCAGTTTGCTCTTTCGATCTTGTATCACGATATCGCCATTCGATCGTCGGCGGATGAAACCTGTTCGTTTCACCGATAGGATGGTGCCGAAGGTAAATTTATTTCACCGCTTCGACGTTCGCGGGACGTGCTACGGGAATCACTTTGATAACTTTATAATTAATCTGCTTACAATAACGAAATAGCGTGTGCAAACTTGTATCTGGTCCACGGTGATTCGTGCGACGCACCGATCATTTTCGTTTAGAAATTCAAACGGTTTTCGAACGATACGAAATTTCGCAAATTCTTTCATTAGAGTATTCTTCTTATTATTTTGAAATACCCAGGGAATTCAAGTAATTTCGAGCGCATACTCTTTCCGGAATACACGTAGTTTATATGTGGTGTCATAATCATACGAATTTATATCATACGATGTATATCCGTTTAAGTTCGATGGTTTCTCACGAGGAGGAGAAGTAACGTTGAAACGGCGAGGACGACTTAAGAGAGTACAGCGAAGTGCGAGGGAAAGAAATATTTTACGTGTTGATCTGTCGCAATTAACGTTTGATTTCGATAATCGTTGTGTCTGCGTTCCGCTTTCCGTTTTGTTGCATGTGCTGATTACGTCCGCTATTGTTGCTGAAACTTTCCATTTTTCGGGCAAAAGAATTCTGTGTGTGTATATATATTTGTTAGGAAAGACCTGGCCCTTTAAATATCGACTACTATACATATGATATATATATACATACATATATATATATATATATATATATACATGATTGATTGGCTTGAAGCGATGATACGTATTTTATTTTTCTATGATACTTATAAACTGTTAATTGTGAGACAGTTCTATGATGGAAGAGCCTATTATTGTAACCGAGATGACGAGATATAGAAATGACTATTTATTTTGACAAACTCGAAGCACTTACATGTAATTTAGCGCCGACTACGGCGAACCTATCCAGAGCAAGGATTACACTACTTACACTTTTCCAGTAATCTGTCGGATACTACAAAACGAAACGTAACTTCCAATGACTTGTCTGTTTGGAGAATCAATCGTGCTACCCCTGGCAGTTCATTGTTTCGAAAGTTGTTCACCTTTGACATCGGTACGCTACCGATCAATTAGATTGACTTATCTATCATTTCGTATACAAATCAAAATAACAGATTTATCGATATTCGAAACGTTTCTTCATTTTATATCTGTACACGCGAATTTATTTGACAATTTCCCTGAAAAGTATCTTCGCGATTTCGATACGCGAAACGTCTCGACACTTGGAAAATAAAAATGTCTGGTCGTTCTAGGTGTTAACCCCTTGTCAATCTTTTTCCTCTTCGAAACATTGGAAACGATGAACATTTTCTTACACGCTTTGTACAGTTTTCGTTCAGTGTACAGAATTGTTATTTCATGCACGGCGAAGAGATAAGAATCTTTATTATTTATTATTTATTATTCATTGTCCTGAATTATACGAGACTCTTTGCTAGGGGTAGCGAGCGAAAGGTTGATACGGGTCAGCGGCATGAATTTATCGTTAGCCTTTCTATGCCTTTACAGCACTGCATCGTCTATTAAATGAATTCGTTAAATTTTATAGAAGGGACACTATGGAAGGACAATCTGTGTACAAATAGACTATTGTATAGTGATTTGTAGCATGATTGTATGTGTCGTGAGCTGTAGCATAGGCGCAATGAAGAGCATTGCGATTCATGTTCGCGGTATGTTCCGTAAATGTATACACGTTACCACCGTTATTTTCGTTCTTCCATTAATCCGAAACTGGTGTAATATATATATAAATGATAAATAATGTATTATTATTTTACTAAATAAATTGTTTATTTTGTAAAGAACCCTCGTCCCGAACTGTCTGTCGCGTCTCGATATATCGAAGTATCGGAGTCCGAGAAGCGTTACAGAACTGCAGAGCCTTAGTTTTTTCCAACACCCTTTATTCGGCAGCGTTTCCATTTTCGTATAAAAATACTTTCATCACTTACAATTACAAATTTTTATGTACAAATTCGACGCGTCTGAGCGATTAGATTGGAGGCGCGGAGTATTTAATTAGTTACTACATGTTTCCATTCTATTTGACCTACAGCTGAACCGAAGATAAGACAATTGAAACACGAGAGATACCGTGTTACATATTACCTAATGGAATATTACAATATTACAAATTTGATGGTCCAGTGTTAAGTATTAATGGTTCGAGAAAGCTCCAAGAGAGGTAACAGTCTCATGAAATAAAATTTAGAGAATCCTATGTGGTATTAATGCATAAAATTCGCTGGCGAGTCGCGATATCCGAACCAGCGAATTCTTTCTGAAAATCAGTTCAATGAAAACTTGTAATTTCAATGATAACGCGATAGAAAATCTGTAGCATGTCGTTCAACCTCGTATCTGCTACCCTTGAAACAGGGTAAAGTCGAACATCGAAGACGCGAGTTGTTCACAGGGATCCCCAAGGGATCTTGCGAACACCTCCAATCGATCAGGCAGTCTTCCGAGTGACGTTCGGATGTGCGAAGCTCGTTGAAACTCCAGTTTTGTTTCAACTGCACCTCGAACGACCGTGACAACCCATGGAAGCAAACACGCAACAGTTCACAGATCATGCAACTTTACACGTCTCGCTTCGACAGCTAACTTTGCTTCTCGTCGTCCTTGTAGGTCGGATTAAGTGTTCCGTATTTGTCGTCCAAGCGAATCTCCTCCGCGATGGACTGCGCCTCAGGTTCCTCGACGTACTTGTAGAATCTCGCCATCACGGCGAATACGATGATGTCGATGAACATGAGCGCAGCGAACAGGAGGAACTCGTACATCTAAATACCGAGAATAGTATCAATTTATAATATCCAAACTATTCAATTTATATTTGTCTTCCTCTCATCTTCTTCTTCTTCATAACAATAAACGGAAATTTCTTTGTCGTTGTTCATTTTACTGGAACCTCCCACTTAAGTCCCCTTCGATTTTCATTAGAAATAATAAGAATTTCAACTACGACCGAACTGAGAATTAACCCCTTGACCTACAATGTGTCAGACTCGCGATGAAAGTTTTCAAAATTCGAAAAATCCAAATGTTATTTATTTTCTTCAAACTAAATATTACTTTCCTACTATCGATCGTTAACCTTTGGAGGAGACAGACATAAAACAAGCACCAAAATTCCTTTTTTCCTAATAGATTATTAATGATACAGTGGTCGCATCGATCACAGTTAAAAATAAATCATAGGACAAGGCGTTGAAGAGAGTCGGCCAACTTTTCTGAATGTAATACTTGCCTGTCTGTCGAACCAAGACGCTTCAGCGATGATGACGACGATAAGATTACCGACGGCCACCGTCATCTGCCAGCTGGCCTGCAGCAAGGATTTCATGCTGGACGGTGCCTGTGTGAACGCGAACTCTAACCCGGTCACGGAGAACATCACCTCTCCCATAGTCAGCAGCAAGTACTGAGGTATCAGCAATAGCATGTGCACCGAGTTCGGCTCGGTGACGGTTATCAGCTTAACTGCCCTGTCACCTGGGAACGAATGGCTGAGCAGAGTGTAAACCCCGCCGAGTTTCAAGGGTAGTTCTTTCACCACTTGGTCGTTGTCTATCCAAACACCGTATGTCCCAGGCTTGAGTTCCTTTAATTTCTCGACACTTTTCGTTTCATTGGTTATGGTTGTGTTCAGAGCAAGATTCTCATCTCTCCGGATATACACAGTCACTTTTGAGTCCGTTGACCCGACGACCCGCAGAAGCGGCAAACCCAAATTCGATTTAGTCACCGAGTCTGAGTAACTGTAGGAGATACCTTGAGGCGTGATCACCCAAGACGTTGCATTCTGCTCCACCGCGAAGATGTTTCCTGCGAAGAATGAAGATGCCTCTGATCTTATTGCTCTGGACTGGTATTGTGTCCAGCGAATGGAATTCCCATGGACGAAACGATAATTGCAGAAATTCACCCTTCGCAGTGGGGGCATCGAACTTGTCGCCGCACTTCGAGAAGTCTGCGCTGTACGACAATTCTTTCTTGCCCGTCACTGTGATGTTCTTGTCCACCCACATGCTCATTGTGTCGAGGTGGTGAGGAGATCCCTGTATTGTCAGATCCACGGGGCAGTTGAGGGTGTTGAAGATTCGCACCTGGCCCACACCTTGCGACGGCAAGACCGGATACGTTGGCTACAAGGAAGCAGAAGAGGGCCATAGGGCAAAGTTAGCACGTTAACGCGTTGGCTGCCATGGCGGTCGCTAATGACCGACGCTCCGCATTGCTTGAAAACAAGTATAACATGTAAGATGATTGACGTCGAATACAAACGTTTAACCTTTTAGCTGCTGCACGCCGCTACAGTGGTTTTCGTGTGTATCAACTTTATCAACGATATGCCACTGTAGCGGCACAATTCTTTGTCATCGATAGTTGTGCACATTACAGTGTAATTTAACGTCATTCTGCAGTGAGCAATTTTTGGTTAATCCCGCCGTAGCTAAAAGGTTAATTAACCTAAGTTGGTAACAGTGTAATGTAACGATTGCGATGTCGAATAATGAATAATTATTCCTACGTATCTTTACTAAGAATAAGCATAATAGACCCGAGGAACTTGTCTGATCAAGTAGCCAACGAGTTGAATTCAAGTACCTCAAGTTGAATTTCGACGACGGCCGAGACGACGAAGGACAGAGCAGCAAGCAGGCCGCCTATCGTGAGCTTCTTCAAGGGTGTGCGAAGGCCGACCTTCGCCAAAAGAGGGTACAGGCAGGTCTCGAACAGAGGGATGAACGCGAGGACCAGCAGCGGATTGATCACCTGCATCTGGTCCGGCTCTAGCACCCAGCTACCGATCTCGCCGTTCATCTGCGACGCCTGCAGCGTCCACCTCGAGCCCTGCTGATCGAACAACGCCCAGAAGATCGGTATAGGAATGAACAGCTTCATCACCTGCAGAGCTGCCTTCACGTCGCTTATCATCGACTTCTCGTACCGGTCGTCGGCGTGATCCAGCCAATGTTCTCGTTTCGACTTTGACGTCGTTTTCACGTAAATCGCGTGCTGCAATTTATCAATGTGTGTTATTCGTTACGATCATCGAATTCTTCGACTATCGATTCGAAATTTACAGTAAACGGCGAAACTCACGGAGATGCATTTGGTCACTTGCACGATAACGTTTCCTTTAGGCTTTATTATCCTGTACATGGGTCTTCCGAGCAGGAATATCACTGGAAGAAAAGGGTTACCGTCGAGGTTGCCAAGCTTTACGAAGGAGGTTCAGATGAACGGAGACTCACCGATCGAGAGGGTCATGAGGACTGCCGGTACCAGGAACGCCAGCGAGTAGCAGGTGCTGTTGCCGAAGCACTCGACGTTGCTGCGAAGCACAGGCGTGAGGAAGCTCGAGATCAGCGAGCCGAAGTTGATGGAGAAGTAGAAGATGGAGAAGAACGTGGACAGATATCGTTCCTGTTGAGGCAGGATGAACTGGTCGCCGCCGAACGCCGACACGCAAGGCTTTATGCCGCCTGTCCCCAGGGCAATCAGCACCAGACCGAATATCGAGAACTCTCTGCGAAATTAGACAAGCCTGATTTCCATCGATCTTAATGGAACGAATCTTCCACAGCTTCCGAATATGTCGTATAATCATCCCAGAAACCGGTGCATGGTATCACCGAAATAATCAATAGCCCAGTAATGATAAAATGGATTGAATCAAGAAATGTTCGTAAAAACTGGTTTTAACAGTACGTTGGAACTGAGAATTTTGGGAACGACGACGAAGATTTACCTGGAAGGGAGTCCTATAGGAGGTGCGGCAGTCAGGGCTAGGAGGATCTGTCCTATGGCGTAGATGATGCTGAGGTAGAAGATCGTGCGGAACTTGCCGAGCAGCGAGTCCGCGAGTATCGCCCCGAACAGGGGGAAGAAGTACGCCAGCATCGTGAAAGCATGGTAAATCGCTGTGGCCGTGTTCTTATGGTATTGCAATTGCTGTGTCAAGTACAACGTCAACACGGCTGCGCATCAGGAGAACATTCAATGATTACTTGGTGATCGTTGTTTTCTCGAGGCCCCCGTACACGTTGAAACTTGCATGTAGGTTTGAGTTTGAGTCCTCCAAAGTTTCATGATACATGTTGCACTCGAACAAGTGAAAAACGCTCAAATGCACGTTTCAGCACGTATGGGGCTCTTAACTCTTTGCGCTCCAGAGGCTCCTCTGAGTCATCAAATGATTTGACACAGCAAAACCGTAAGCTTTGATATTTAATATTAAACTTTGTATAATACATTAACGTACGAAATGTTGAATGGAAATAGATTGAGATTCCTTAATTAAATCTGAGAAAATGTCATCTGTATCTCATTAGAGAATATGAATATTTCCGGTGAGAAACTTCTGGAGTGCAAAGGGTTAACGTTGCATATGAAAGAGATCGAAGTCATTGAGCTCCTCTTCCAAAGAAATTCTATCCAAACAAATGTCTATTCTCGTGGAATTTTCGCTGAAAGAAATGTTCTGCGTTGGGAGATTTCGGAACTTTTCGAATACGTTCCACGGTTCATGGTTCGAATAGAATTTGTTTAGAAGTTCTGGAACTTTGAAAGGTTCTTCGATCCTCGACACGAGATAGATACTCAGCCATCACGTACTTCGCATTCCATAGAAGCTGAACCTCTCGCAGAACTCGTTGCTGATGATGAAGAACACCGACTTCGGGTACTTGAGCTTCTGCAAAGATTCCATTGGACATGAGGGAAACGATGATCACGTTACGATCGCAATTAGTCGGAGCCGCGGAACGCGAACCGTCGACCCCGATCAACTTCGTTGTGCGATTTAAAGAATCCGTTTCTTCCCGCGTGAAACGCGAAGGCCGCGTTATTCGAACGATTAGTCACGCGCGAGCGCGATCCGCGGTCTCTCCATGCTACGGACGTCGAAATCAATCGGGATGAAGTAAACGATCCGACAATGCGAATGTTAGGCGAGGAATGAAGTTCTTATAGCCGGTAGATTTCCAGAAAGACGGGAAATCGACGAACACAGCGTTGACAAGCTCGTACATCTCGTTGGTTAAAGTTGCTCGGTCGCGAAAGTGATTATTTCGATCCTTCGCGGACGTAGACTGTTTAATATGCACAAAACTTGCAACATATGAAGCTAACTTATTCATCGAATGCTCAAACAACGGGAAAAAGGGAGACTGTACACTGATCTCATATTATTCAAGTAATTAAATCGATAAACGACATTTCATCTCGCTGAAACGTCGACATTCGTCTATAAAAGGTTAACTCTTTGCGCTCCAGAGGCTCCTCTGAGTCACCAAATGATTTGACACAGCAAAATTGTCAACTTTGATATTTAATATTAAGCTTTGTATAATGCATCAATGCACGGAATATCGAAAGAAGATAGTTCTCTTCCTCAATGCGTGTGAGATTCCATAATTCAATCTGAGAAAATGTCGTCTGTATCTCATTAGAAAATATTGAATATTCCCGATGACAAACTTCTGGAGTGCAAAGGGTTAACAAATGAAACGTTCTTTCCGAAGGAAAATTCTCACGCGTGTCTAATTCTTATTCCGATAAACCACGCGAACGTCATTGGTTGCTTGACGTTGCTTCGTTTCCTCGTGGGACATTCGATATCGCGAAACACGGTTTAACTGCAAAGTGCGCGCAAGTTTTAATGAAGGTACCGAAATGTGTCCGAGTGACTCGGCTCGCAGCTGCAACTGTAACTGGAAACGATAAGTTAACGATGCCTCTAATGAACGAGGACGTAAACTTCCTCGGCTGCGACGACCCATTTCGATTTCAGCTTCGAACTTCGTGAATAGATTACTAATGCCACGCGTTTACAACTGGCGCGTGTACGCTGAACACAACGAAACGAAACTGGAACGTGCCTCCGCGGGACGTAACAAAGTTTTCCTCGCGTTTCGAACTTCACGCTGGAAATCAGATCTCGGACTTCTTCTTTTGCGATGATCGATAAAAGTTATACGCGAGTCGATGAAAACTTCAACGAACGTGCTCTCCGAGGCTCCAGTAATTGGATCAATAATTCTGGCTGCGACTTCGATGAAATCGAGAAGCGAATTCTGAGCTTTTCCTTCTATTTTAGCGAAAACTGCATCGTTTGTACAAGAGAATTATAGATTATCGGTAAACTATCGGTAGTCCTAATGTCAACGAAGCGTTCAGCTCGAAAAATCAGTGTCTCCTGACCCAGGTACTCGTTCCATCACAGAATTAACGATTTTCCGAGCGGATTAGCTCGTAATCTTCGCTCGTTTATTTTCGCAATAATTAGCGCACGCCGTCGACGTTAAATATTTACAAGCTCGCGTCGAAGGCCTGAATAATCGCGTGCGTCGTCGCGATAAGCGGATCGAGTCGAATTATCGATGAAAGCGAGCGTAAAAATGGAATTATAATATAGAACGAATTGATAACGTTCGACGCTGTCAATCTGTGTAACGAATCGCTGCGTTTCTGGCCGTTTCAGACTGCTGGCTCGATGAATCGAATCAAACGGATAGTCCGGGGACTAGCGAACACGGTCTGGAACACGTCAAACGCGTCCTTTTCAAGAATAATCTTTCATGCATTATTCAGGGCCGACCCGTCCACTCAAACGTGTTTCTTTCGCGCGGGACAAGCAAAGCGCCGCTCAAAGGAAACTTTCGAACCGATACTCCTATGTACACGGTGTCCCGGGATGTTTCAATCGCGAGTAAGAACAAGAAGTTATCGGCGATCGATGGGCAAAGCGAGAAGATAAACGACTTCATTCATTCCGCGAAGGTTTCAGCCGGCGATAACACACGTTCGTCGGTCGACGCGCGTTTACTATTAACACCTGCGTTAAACTACAAATACAGCATTCGTAATTTATTTTTATCACTAGATACTCAACGTATCTGTCGAGTGTCCCGATGTCCTTGTTCGAGGAAACTTTAATTATGCTTCTCATCTTCGATCGCTTTGGAAATATTTCGACATGTTCGTACTCTTTCTACACGAGTATCTGAAGTTTCGACAGATCTTTCGTGAACTCTTCTGTTTTTTAATGGGGAAAAGGGCGAGAAGAGATTTTCTTGCTTTTGTCATTGACGATCACCTGTTCATTCGACTAGGATCCAAGCGGCACGCGCAGGAAGCGACACTTCCGATTTCTAATTGCTCGTGGCTGTATATTAGAACGACCCTGAAAATATCGCGTGCCTATCTGACAGTTTATCCGGTTAACAGGGAACAATTTCAATGATTCAATTACATTCTCGGTTTATCGGAGGAGTCTATTCTCGAGAGTGACACTGTCGAATCTACTGACGACGCGAAGACGATACATCGTTCGTCGAAGAATTCTGTTACATCGGATGACACAAGATCACCGGTGTTGATTTCCACCGGAGAATCCTCTACAAATCGACTCAACGGCGGAAGGCTGACGAACCTGTCGATGGAAAATCGCGCGAGTCCGTCATCGGACGTCATCGAGCGTTACACAGTCCCTTTCACATCTCGGGAACGCAAGGTTCGGCCGCGACCGCGAGCGGGAAGCCCAGAAAAATCGACTTTCTATTAGATCGATCCATATTCGACGGTTTGCAATAGCAAAATCATCGGCGGAGTTCGATAGTTTCAAGATCCGAGTGGAACATCTTTCGCGAGACCACGCTGTCATCGTTGTTTTCGTTATATTCCTCCCGTAACGCGCGAGAAGTGACACTGTCCATCGACAGGCACAACGTCGAGGAGCCAGTTTCAGTTAAATTCGGCATTCGATCGATCCGCGACAGATCAGGTCGCTCCAGCGAGATCCTCGAGATCGCGACAGGACGATCGAACCGGACGCAGGAAAATTCCGCCAGGATCCCTACCTCGTCACTCGTTTTCTCGATCATCGCGGCGATTTTCACAGGTCACGACCGCGGTTGAAGGAAGAATCTATTTTCACGGTCAGACACAGTTCGTCCGGTCACATGAATAGATCATCTCGCTGCCGATCTATCCGTAACGGGGCAGAATCTTTTTCTTGGCGCATAGACCGTCGATCGGCGGAGATCGGCGCGCACCGGAAACCGACGAACGTTCTCGCTCGATTCGCGAAGCCGCACTGTTGACTTCTTCGTGGTGCACGGATATGTAAGTCCACGACGGCCGTTTGTACAGGGTGATTCTAGTGTTTGGGTCCGGCAGCTGTATTCTGCACGAGAAACACCGGGGAGCTTGCGGGGAACGGAATTGTTTAATGCATTGTCCGTTACCAGGATTTCCAGCGTTTCGTACATTATTACTTATTCCATCTCGTCGTGACAAAGACAAATGATGTTAGAATTAACTACCGACGGTTCGGTATCGTTGGTTGTATTATTACTTACTTACTTGTATCGCTACGTATTTTCTTTTGCAATATTGTTTTGTGAACGATTCGTTTCACTGTAGACACCGCGACGTTATGAAATGCAGTTGTTACCGCGGTGAAAGCATGGAAAGTAGGCCTGACAGATTCGTCTAATAATACTCTTGTCGGTGAGAAGAATTAACGATTGTTGGTTAATGTTTAGCAAGTGATTCGCGTTGTTCAATGTAGATTTTGTCTAGCCTCGTTTGGAACACAGTTAGAAGACCTAGTTACCAGGATCGACCTGTACAGACCGTGGGCCCTGCCTCGTGAAAGTACCGATCCCCTGTCGCAGGTCGGCTTTTACGTCTCCGCGTATCAGGGCCACGATTCGATCCCATTTGTCCTAGTCATCTAATTCTATACATTTCTAAACAAGCTGTCAACTGGTTCAACACACTCTTAGCTACTTCGGTAACTGAAGTTTCAAGGAGTACCGTGAACAACCGATTCCTTCGTGGCAGACAGCTGGACGATCCTTTTCAAACGAGACGCGTTGCGTAATCCCTTCCCGTTAAAACAACATGTATAGACATTTCGCGGATCCCGTTACCCATTACAGGTAAATGAACAACGCGGGCTGAACGTCCAATTGCAGCTGGCAGCTATGTTGCCATAAACCGAGATAGCTGTCGTGACGAAGTCACAATCGTGCGAGCCGATTCGTTGAAGTATTGAAAACCTTTCGCAGGGGAAGCTAAATTGTACGTGAAATTCTCAAGTAGCGAAGAAAGGGAAGACCGATCACTGATCTCTCGTCATTCGAACAAATCAATTGGTGGTTCAGAACTTCGTATTCTAAATATGAAAGCTTGATGTCAGAATGACGACACTCGGTCTCAAGGGGTCAATATACCTCGGGTCAAACGTAGACGTAAAGTGTACCTAGAATTTTCCCCTCTTTTCAATGATTGTGACAAAGTAGTTGCATCGATCATGATTGAGGAATAAATCGTGGAGCAAGGTTCTCAAGTGGCGTTTCGAGCGTTTATTAGATTTTCCAGCTGAAAATCATCTTCTGCGTGTCGCTGATAAACACTGCAGTTGTTTCTATCGCAAAAACGCGCATCGCTCGGGCGACCTCGCGCATTTTTCAGAACGCAGCAATTAACGCAGCACGAACGGCCGTTCGTGGAAACAACGATGAAACGCGCAGCCTGTCAATTCGCGATGAAGACACAAGCGCTCGATAAGCCGCAATTAACTGATAACCGACTTACCCGGCCTATACGTAATCGGGGACGATTATCGGCGGTGCAGGCGATCGAGAGATTGGTCATCGGTTCGCGTAACTTTCGCGATATCGAGAGTGAGGCGGGAATGGATTAAGATAGTTTTTCGAGGTGTCAAAGTACAAGTTTAATTGCACGCGCCTCGTTCTTCCCAATTAAACTAATCTGCGCCGTTTGATCGCGGAGAATCTAGGGGATCTGCGTAGTGCGATAAAGACGGCGACGAAGAATGATGACTTCCTGCCGGTTAAAAATGGAATATTTTTCTGCGGGAACGTTAAGGACAGATTCGAAGGAGAGTTTATCGGAATCACCTGAACGATTTCTTTCGATCGATCGAAGTGTCAACGATAACAATTGTTTTCTTTTTTTCGTCGGTTGGTTTAGCCAAGCGAAACGGGCCGGGTCAACTGTGCGTTTCAACGTGAATAAGAAAAGTGAAATCTGCTCTCGATTTCCGTCCAAGGCGCTGCCACTTTATTTCGTGAAACTGGTCCACGACGCAGGGGCGTGAATTACGATGCTGAAGAAGTAAATACGTTCGCCGGTGTTCTTTGAAACGAGGGTTCTTATCGTTTACAGATATGTAGAATCTCTGCGATTCGTACAGGGCGCTCCAAAGTACTCGTTGCGGTCGCGGTGGTGTCTTATCCACGGCAGTGTGTATTACATAACGAACTTAATAAAGAACGAAACATAAATGACGCAGGAAATAGAGCGAAGTAACGAATAAAATGAGATTAACCCTTTCCGGTCGGAGCGCTCTGAAAGTGGGCTACCCGATTAATTGTAGCACTTAGTCGGTGATAGATTGACATATTTATAGTCTATACTTATTCATTTATTTATTTATTTATTTATTTATCGCTATGTTTAACATATTTATAGTTCTTATTTATTCGTTTATTCAACAGTCACGATAAGACAGCTGAAAGAAGAGCTGCTCGATTGATGAAACAGTCGAACAGACTTTCGTCCTTAACGGCGAAAGTGCCTCGAAAGGGTTAAACTATCGTAAAACCTTCGGAAACAGTGTTACCGCAGTGTTGGGACAGCTTGTACAATTGTTCCTTTGAAAAATTCCACGCGGCAATAAAACGTAACGAAAACATGTCGAAAAAACTTTCTCGCAACACGCCTAAAATGATAACACTCGTAAAAATGCTTGAAGCCAGTGTCGCCGACGCTTTTGCAAAGTAACGGCAATAAATAAAGACGAAGGTCGCATCCCAGTGAAATTCAAACAGCTCTGCACGCGAAAGCGTAAATTTTTCAATCGGCCGAAAGCCGTTAAATAATAGACAAATTATTTATTGGCGTGTGCCTATCAGTTTCATCTGGCCCGATCGGTAAACACTTTGCGGCCCCGTTCGAACCAATTATCCTCCTCCATTTTGTATTCGATGTCTTCCCACGTAAACTATTCTTTTCCTGTATCTAAGCTTTCTATCTGAACTATTAAACGTTGAATCGTTGTTCGAATTGTTCGCGATAGAAGGTGAAAGACAAGCGATGCCATCAAATGTTTCCGACCAACCAAAATGGCGTCATCGACGAACCGCAAAGCGTTCATGGGATTTAGGGGGCAGCTCGCGTTTCCGTTTCCCTATTGCTCGCAACCGTAATTAGTTCGATTCGAGAGCGTGACGATCCGGGAACGCCAACGCGAAATTTGATTAATTGAGAATGATTGATTAGATCAGCGTATTTAGATTACTTTCCCCTCGCGAGGAAACTCGCGTTTCGCGTTGAAATCGGGCGTTGGTTCTCGACTTCACGGCTCTACTATAATCCGGCAGCTATCTAATAATATTTCTGATATTTCAGGCTAGAAATATTGCTTGACATTCAACAACTGTTTCTCGATTTTCCCGCATACCCGAAAATTTCAATACGTTTGTACGAATTGCCAACGGAATCATTCTTTCTTCTATATTCAAGTTTTTATAGGTAAAACGAATAGACGGATCAACGATCGTTAAACAAGATGTTCGACACGAAACCGTAATCTGCACCGATGTCTATTTTCGTGGACAATTTTCGTCCAATCGCGAGCCACCGAGGACCGTTTATCAGGGGGAATAGTAGCCGATGCTACTTCAATCTGTTACGATAACAGTTCCTCAATTATCGAGTGAATTTCTCGGTAACGATAAAAAACGATATTTACCTTTTGATTCTCCTCTGTGCCGCTTTCATTGTCCGGATGATCTGAAAGCACATAAATAGTGAAAAAGAGGTTTGATAACATTCCTGCGGTACATATAGTTCAACCCGATACCCCAATTTTCTTATCACACGGAAAAGATTGGTTGCTATACAAGAAATATCGTGGTTTTAAACTTCTGATAGAGAAGGACGCGTTAACGGTGTATCTTTCGATAACTTTCCGTCTGGTTGCTTTGTCACGTAACTTCATTCTTATTGCTTTATTGCTTTATTGCCTGGATCGGTATCAGTTTAACGAACTCGACAACCCGTTCACTCCAGGATAAGTCTTATCGGACTATTTTTGTTTATTGTTTATTACGTTTATATATCTACTTATGATCATTACATTACGTTTTTCTTAGTACTTGGTCGTCCCGTAACACGTGCGTTAATACTTCTCGCGTTACGTTTTGTGTTCACAGAGCGATACGACTTTGAACTCCTTCAGTTTCGTCGGTAAAGAGTAGATACTCGAGAGCGACAGGTCATGAAGTTATAAAAATGTTATATTTAATGAAATATTATTTTATACGGTAGATTACGGTACGTTTATCATTGGAAATCCACCGCAAGAACGTACGTGAAAATATTTAACGAGTCTCTTGTTTCATTCGGAATCCGATAGGTCCTACTAAAATACAGATTTCCACGAACAGCTCGATAAAAATTTCCATAAATATCCTCTAACGATCCCAGGATTCTGCTTTCCTTTGCCAAGCTGATTTGAATAATCTGACAGCCGCGTCGGTTATGGAGATGACGTAGAAGCTAAAAAAGTTACCTGCACCGGTGTCTTTCACGTGAACGCCACGGACGTTCGCGTCATTACAGTCGTATTTATTTCCAGAACGCATCGCCCGATAGATAACGACGATAGTTGAAGCCTAGCGCGAGCAACATCAACAGGAACGCGATGAAAAATGTTAACACCTAGAAGTCTGCGAATGTGGTCACATATTCCTTCGTCGAGAATGCGCGCAAACCGTTGCAACGCGGTTAAGCAATACGTCAGTGAAGTTACGAGGCGCTCGGAACGGAACGTTCTCCAAAATGGCCGCCGCGACGAGCTGTTCGGTCGTTTGAATCGGTTCACAAGGAAGTCCCGTTGACTCGAAATGTATCTTGTTATACAGTGAATATAATCGTGCGTGAAAAGTGAATGAACATTTTCGTGAACTTCATCGAACCGCCAGCTGTATCGCGCCGCGAGGGTTCGCGTTTACAACGAACGCGTGAACTAACGGTGAGCCAGCAGGGTTAAAGAACTGTCGGCAATTATCGTGGCGACGAGGACGTCAATAGAAAGTAATCCAGCGTTCATTAATATTTAAAAGCCGTTACGACAATTTGTAACTTTCGAACTGGGTCACGGTCCAATCAGGCAACGAGTAGAATGGAGTGGAAGACGTTCCGACTTCTGCTCCCTTGCCAAATAATTACTTAACGCTCGCGTTGAGGCTGTCTGTGTGACGATTCTAGGAAACGTAGAAGCCGATTATTCTTTTAAGAGAACCTCGTCGAATTCTATTTTCTCTGATAGCGACATCCACGAGTACAATGTTGAATGTTCTGTAAATGATCTCTGTGAACCTTGCGAAACCAAAGGAAATATAGTTCTCGAAAGAATAGTTCGTTGGAAAGTTTACGATACAGTTCGCCTTGTTCGAATACGAAAATCATCGCAGATAATCACCGCAGAACGATTCGTATCAGAGATATACCGTGTTTCGGAATCCTAAGCCCGTGTAATATATTTACCGCTGAAATGCCAGTGGCTTTTATCGCGTCACCGTCTACGACTGACTTTAATAGATTACACACTCGAACCTGTTTGTAATTAGATAACGTGTTCCATACCGAGGTATGCGTTATTGTGCTCCTACGTCGGAAAGAAGAAACACTTCGTTGCGTTCCTTCGTTTTATTCTACCTCTGTTGAAATCCACTATCGCGTTAACAATGTATTCCTGGTACTCAATACCAGATTTCCAAACACTATTTACGAAGATTCATTTCCGACATGGTTCAAGAATATAGTAAAATAATCGACAAAAGTGTCCTGACTTAGAATGCAACGCAACGAAGAAATCCACTAGCATGATTTTTCTAGATCAAGTGAAAATCGATACTGATTAAGGAATCGGTAAATTCTCTAGAAACGAGATATTCGCTAAAAGTGCGTTCTACCTTTTTAAATGAGAATCACGAGGATCCCTTTCTCGGGTTGATCGATAATTCACGCGATAATGCTAGGGAATAATAAGTTCGTTGAATGTCGGTGTTGAGGTACCTTGAATTTCGTGGACAGAACGTTTCTTGTTGGTCATGGCGCTCGAAATTGCTAACACCACCTGTCCCTGTAACGTTAAGATGAGTACTGATCCGTCCTTTCAATTCCGTTATCATCTTACGTCTATCGCCGCTTATCAATCGAAACATGCAAGCCGACAATTAATTCCGGAGTGATTTATCGCGATTCGATACAGAGAGAGGGAGAGAGAGAGAGAGAGAGAGAGAATTGATTCAGATACAGACCGATCCGACGAAATTCGGCGTAGTCCGTTGAAGTCCCCGGGGCGAAGACCAAACGGAACTCGTCATCGACCATCATCCTCGTTGTCCCCGTCGTCATCGTAACCGAGTTTCGTCGGCGAACTGCATTCGTAACTGGCTTCAACGAAAACGACGTAATGTATCATCGTCGAACGTACTTCCTCGACATGTGTCATTTGTTTAAACAACATGTTTCACCCGAGGCACGTGAACCGAGTGGCCATACTCCTCGATGACCTCGTCAGAACAGGATAAAGAAACAAAACGGGTGAGTGAATGTGAAAATTCTGCTTATTTACTGGATACCAGGTTAACCCGAGCTAAATCGAACATTAACGAACAGATCGATTGTATGGACCATACTCGTAATCCAGAGAATCTCTTGATTCTAATATCGAGCATCGATCGATCTCCATTCTTCGAGTAGGGTCGACGGAAATTGAACACTATCGGGAACATTTAATTCCCAGATAAGCGTGTTCAACAATTCTGTTTTGGACAACAAAGGAAGTACTCCAGCCGCGCGCTTAATCGAACTTAATTACGCGGGAAACTTTAATTATCGATAACTCTGTTTACTTTCCTCGATTCCCGTGTCCACGATAACAATATTCCGTGGAAGCTTTCTAAAGAAAATCGTCGTGTTCGTTCGCTGAATTTTATTCATTTTTATTATTTTATTCGATACGCGTGTATATACGTTATCAACGGCGATGATTAAAGTTCTAGTTGGAATTGTAGATGAAATAAATGGTTTTATAATGATAGAAATAATGCGATTCGAATGTCGCGATGTTTGCGAAATGACGGCGTTTAATAAATTATGTGAATTCCCACCGCCCCGTGGCGCTACCCAGGAGCGGGCAGGTCGCCGCTGGTGAAAGAGGAATAGTGACGAACGGGAGAAACAAAATGAAACCGAGAAAGCATTTATGTGTGCAGCGACATACCTGTCACGGTCTGTGTCACTTTATTCTTCTTCCGACTGTCCATATTTTCGCCTATATTTGAGCCTATACGATGAGCCAGATAAAATGCAGCTCGACTGCCATAAAGTCTCGCTCCGTGCACCTTGCACGGAGATAGCCATTTGACACGATGTCCTTGAAACACTGCATCTAAATATGGAGTAGACAATTCAAATCCAACTCGTAAGAAACAGTGGGAAACTATACGGGAAACGATAGACTCCTGAGCAACGATAGGATCTTGAGAATTGGAAAAATGTACGTAGGTGGTCGAACCGCGAAAACGATATTGTTGAGACGCAGTATGCTCCATGGACGTTGTCAATGCTCACGAATGGTTTACAGATGTTGGAATTAGAACGAGAAACGAATAGTCTAAAGTAAAGAGAGTTTTCCTATCGATTTTCCTAGAGGAAGATCTTGCAATGTTGTGATGGATCGATAAGCGAAGATCGACCTTCCCTATAAAGCTGGTCGAAGGAGCATTTCTGATCATAGAGTTGAAACAAACGAGATTTCTTATCCGAGGAAACAATTAAGTTGTACGAATAGAATAGGAAACGAATACTGTTGATTGAACACCCCTAGCGGTGCTTTCACTAACCGGTGTAATTTCTTACAGATTCTATAGTTTCTCAGAGTATGGAGCAGGAAAAATAAAATAACACGATAGATGCCGCACGTCGGTGTACGGTCGGTTATGTAGTGTATATGTGTTCATGTCGTATATACTCTTCTCTCGCTCGAGCCGAGGACTGAGATCGTTGTTTGGAAAACAAATCGATAGAACAGTTTTTGGAATGATGTACTTTTATCTGTAACGTTAGATCGTAGTGAAGCGGTAAATCGGATACAGGATTGCCTAGGGCCTACGAGAACGTTAATGCGGGCCTGAGGATCGGACTGGTAAGGCGTTGTTGGCTTCGGATAAAATCGGGATCGGATAAAATCGGGTCGGACGAACTGAGTCACAACCAGCTGAGGAGTGGGACGCGTTCGATTACACTCGCCCGTTACAGAACTCTGGGGAACACGCACTATGGGGTTCGATTTGACCCGATTTCAAGGCGAAGTTGATCAGGAACTGATTTGCCCAATATGCTCCGGAGTCCTGGAGGATCCAGTCCAGGTATTATTTTCTGTTACGATCGTGAACGATCCGAACGCTCTTGATGAACCAGTTTCGTGAGTTTCCACGAAACTAACCTTACTTTTTTCCGTTTACTTTCCTTCCTCGTCAATAATACCTCGCTTTTACCGATCACCGCGAGCAAGGTTCCAGAACTTTGCCAGCGGTCGTTCCCTTTTATCCTATCAGGCGCCCAGATTTTATATTTTCGACAATTCTTATTGAAATCTTGATTTCTCTTCCTACTGTCATGCAATGGCTTTAAGTTTTTTTTACAACTTCCGCTCTGTTAAAATGATTATAACTGTTGGTTTACTTCTATTTGTTTTGTAAATATAGTGGATATACGGTTTTCGCTTTACTTCTAAGTAAATTGCGCTAATCATCCGTGCGTGTCTGTTACTAGAAGTAAGCTACTAGAAATGTTTGAGTTGGTTTAAAGACTGGTAGGTGAGCAATATGTTACAGGCACCTGAATGCGAGCACACGTTTTGTCGCACATGCATTACCGAATGGATAAAGAGGCAAGCAATTTGTCCTTTGGACCGCACACCAATTGCCTCTGAACAACTCAGAGCAGCTCCCAGAATTCTAAGAAATCTATTGGCACGTCTTTGTATCAGTTGTGATAATATCATGGAAGGATGTCAAGTGATAATCAAATTTGATAGTCTTCTTTCACATTTGGAACACTGCGAATACAAACCTGAAAGACCTATGTTGTGCGAGCAAGGATGTAGCCTTGTTATTCCCAGAAACGAGTTGAAAGATCATAATTGCGTGAAAGAACTGAGGAACATCATACATACGCAAGAACAGAAACTCGAAGATATGAAGCGTGAAATGAGTGAACAACAATTACAAATAACTGAGAACAGGAGAGAATTACACCTTATCAAAGATTCTCTTAGAGCATTGAAATTTCCAGATCCTGTTATAAAAAACACATATAATTATGTTGAAAGCGTTGAAATTGAAAGATGGTCTGCTAGCCTCCCCCGAGCAAAAGTAACTAGATGGGGAGGAATGATTTCTACACCCGATAGAACATTGCAGGTAAGAGAAACTATAATTTACATCATGATCAGTAGGTACTCATCGACGGTCAAACATAAGCTATTATCATTTAATTTTGCTTATGAGTATTATCCTTGTTTTTAAAGTCTTTCTTTTTTCTTTTTGTTGATTCTTCTGAATAATTAGAAATAATATTTTAGGCAATGATAAAGGTCATTTTAAGACAATATAATTGTCCACGTCACATAATTGATGAATTGACAGAAAATTGTCATGAAAAAAACTGGCCTTGTGGATTAAGTTCTCTTGAAACAAGACAGAATTCTAGACGACTATACGACACTTATGTTTGTAAACGAGTACCAGGCAAACAAATAGTGATAGCTCTCTATTGCGATAATAAACACATGCCACAATTTATGATGACTCCACCTGGACTAGTGATGATTTTTGCACATGGTATTGAGTAATGTTTTGTACAGATGCTGTGCGCATGTGAAAGATATTTTGATGTCCATTTATTTTGTTGTTTGTTACGATCACCGTGATTAATCTTCAAGGTGTATGGGATATCTTTGTAATTATATGCTGATACTGGGATATTTACATAATATGTCTGTATTACGCATTTCTGACGCAGGATATCGTTCAAAAAGTATTGGAACGAACAAATGGCATATGCCTTTTGTAATAAACAATTGTACAGTTGCAATTGCCATGTAATAAAAATCTAATTGATTGTCTGGATTGTTACACTGTGATATACTACAGTAGTGGTCTCGTAGTGCGCACAGTTCAAGAGTTTCCGGTCGAAAAGTTATTTCTATTGCCTTGGTGTTAAATCAAATCACAGAGATTGAAACTCTCATGAACTAAATTCGAATAGCCCAAAATCATTTATTCGATAACATAAAAATACAATTTCGAACTGTTTCTGACTGATGCGAATGAGAAACACGAGAAGCACTACGAGAATCGCGAAAGCCGTGCATTATGGAAGCCATTATTGTACTGCATTGAAAAAGTTCCTGAAATCGCGTGATAAATAGTGTGCAGCCTTTTAGTTATCATTAAAATGAGAGATCCTGTATGTACATTTCCGGAAATTCAACTCTCTTCGTTCGACTTCATTGAACGGAGCAACTACTTATCAACTATTTCAGGAAATTTTCCTACATACATAGAAATCTGTAAGTGTTTTACTATAATACTTTAGACGAGTAAGAAAAAAAAGTATAGAAATTATCGGTATGGTAATGGCAACTTTAAGATTTCAATGTGTTCTAAAAGATAAGTC